AGAATTCGTATCTCTTACAATGATAATTGAGCTCACTATTCATAGCTATGTCTAGGGAAGGAGGTCTAGGATCCTGTCCTTCTTTAATGTCAATTATGAGGGTCCTTGATGAAGATGTAACGGTGAACATAAATACCAACTTCTCTATAACGGGCCGTCGCTCTTAATACTGAAGAATATTCCCTAGTAAATGCTACCGGGCGCGGAGCATTAATACATCTTTATGAACGTTATCCTTTATAGTGACAAGCGGAATGGTTGCGTTCGGTCTTCGTCCATCCCGGGTTCCACGTGTCCTCCTTTTAGACAACCACGTGTCATATCATATTTTACCCTAAAGATGTCTAACGAGCCAGGTTGACCCGGTTCCGGACCGGCCCAGACCGGTGTTAGACCGGACCGGACGGGTATGTAGGTGGCCGGGCACGGCTGGGTTTGGATGGGTAACGGATTGTGGTGGGTACTTTCGAAGTACAGGTTAATCGGACCGGTCAAAACCGGCACAATCAAGTCATTGCTGAACCGGTTAACCGGACCCGCCCGGACCGGTCCCCGGTCAAACAACCATTTAATAATTTTTTTTTAATTAAACGGTCAGCTGCCATCTTGACCGTTGCCCAACGGCTATTTTGTAAGAACAACCCTTTTTAGGCATATTTTTTTTTTCAAAAATAACACTTTTAATATTTACAATTTTAGCCACTGAAAAACTATAAATATACCCCCTCCCCCTCCCCCCTCTTCAGTTCTTCACTCATCTCTTATTTCTCAAACCCAAATTCTCAATTGTCATTCTTTCATTCTTTATCTAAATTGCAATCAACTATTTGGCTCTCATTTTTTTTGAAATTTTATTTATGGTATTATTTGAAGTTTGAACTTTGAACTTTGAACAATTAATGTTTCTTCGTGGTAATATTGGATTTGCAAAATTCAATTTCAAAATTTCAAGACTTCAAAAATCATCAATGTTCAATTTATTGCGGAATTCGGTGCATTCCCTGCAACTCTTTCTCTTATTTACTATTTTATTCGCATATTTAATTTTTATTAGTAGTTAAATTTTCACAATATGTTTAATGCTGCAAAAAGAGTTTGTAATAAGGTTGCTAATTGGGATAATCGGGGAAATAGAAAAAGAGGTACTACTTCAACTTCCTGTAGTAATTTAAATGTCTTTACACATGTTTCTAAAACATCATCTGATAATAATATAGATTATGAACAATTACAGGAAAATTTCGGTATAGACGATAATGGATTAGAAATTGGGACGAGACACCACTTACACCTAGTAGTGTTGGAGTTGGTAGCAGGGGTGGTGGTTCGTGGCGCTAGTAGTAGACCACCTGCGGCCCCGAGTAGTAATCGGATAAGGAGAAGTAAAGTTTAGAAATATTTTGAGCAAATAGAGAATTCTGATAGAGTTAGATGCAATCAGTATTTTCTAGCAGTACTTGTTTTCTCATTATCAATCATTGTTGTCCCTGTTCATTGAATACTGGATCTGGGCGAGAATGATCTCATGACCATTGGTGTCATATGATGATGACAATGAAGCAGTTGGCAGAAATTGTGATGGACTGCAATATGTTGGCACTGGCATGTTTGGAGGGAGGGTAGGCAATGGAGCTTCAAAACTAAGGACATGAATTGCTTGCCTAATAGAAGGCCTGAATTTGCTATCTGGATGAGCACACCATAAACCAACAATTAACAAGTGCTTCATCTCCATTTCATTGAACTGTTGTTTGGGATCCCTTTTCATGGTCAACCAGTCTAGCTAAACCAAAATCCCCAAGTTTGGCATTGAAACTGGAATCCAACATAATATTGCTTGACTTTATGTCCCTATGCACCACACATTGTTCCCATTCTTCGTGTAGATATAGCAATGCCGAGGCCAAGCCTTCATCAATCTTGTATCTTATTGGCCATGTCAAATGGCTTTTTCCTTTGAAAAGATGGAAATCTAGGCTTCCATTAGGCATAAACTCATAGACAAGTAGAAGTTCTCTTTTCTCATGGCACCAGCCAATGAGTTGCACCAGATGTCTATGTCTTAGCCAACTGATGATCCTCACTTCTGAGACATACTCTTTTATTCCTTGCTTTGACTCCCTTGAAACCCTCTTAACAGCAACATAGGAATTCAATTCTCGCTGAGATGTCCTTTATAAACTCCCACAAATCCACCCTCCCCGAGCTTTTTTCCCTGCGCAAAGTTATTCGTACATCTAGCCAACTCACTGTAAAGGAACTTCTTTGTTCCTGTGCTTCTTTCAAATTCATGAATCATGGATCCATCAAAGATGTCATTGTCTTCATCTTCTCTCAACTTCCTCTTTCTCCAAAATGCAAACAACATCAAAACACATACAAAAACTAAAACACAACCACCTGAAACCAATCCAACCACAAGTCCTAATTTGTTTTTACTCTGTGCATGCTTTGGCTTGGGGCTTGGTAAGACTACCCCTGGATTTGTTATGTTGTCATTAATTTCTAAAGAAGAAGTAAAGTTCCAAGAATAGATGCTTTGTATTGCAAAGACAAGTCCATCTCCATCTGTGAAGCCAGAAGTGACCCATTCAGGCAAGTATTCTAATCCAGGCAACAGGAAGATTTTTTGAGGTCGAGTTATAGCTAATCCAGGCATCAGTTCTCCTACCATTCGGAATGCTACTAAACCAGGTCACATTAACAACAGATTGCATAGAGTTGATATCAATACCTACATGATCACCCATTGGGTCATACTGGACGTTCTGATACGTATCAAACTCCACAGCTACAAAATGATTGCTCGATGTATTTATAAGGCCAAGACTGCCACCTCTAGTTGTGTTCTCTGGAATTCTTGTACCTGCAGGCGCGAGGAAGAAGGCAAGACCATCACCATATCTTGTTCTACCTTGTGAATTGATGCTAAAGGAGAAGTGAGTACTGAAATCCGTGACATTTCCAGAGTCCTTTCCCAAAGATGCAGGGGCTTGGAATATGTGGCTTGACCTATAGTAGCGTTTATATCACGATTGATCAGGTATGTGGTAAGTTGAATTGCACCATTTGCTATCGAAATTGAAGGTCAGTGAAGTCACAAAGGGGATTATGATAAGAAGAAAAACAAGGTATTTGAGAGCAGATAAAGAGGCAAAGACAACCATAGTTGGATGATAATATGTTTCAGATTAATGTTAGACAACTGAAATTATATTCTATGGCAGACATTTTCATTTCTTTCCAGAGAGCAGCCTAAAGTCTTGGTCATCTTTTAGTCTTTTACTTACAATAAGTTATTGAGAGTTTTCAACTATGGTTGTCTTTGCCTCTTCCTCCAAGTTATTATCTTTACAATTGCTGGATTTAGCTATATTGGCACCCATGAGCTGCCCTTCCATAAAGCAAGTAAAGCAATTATTTTAGGCCCAACATTTATGGGGGCCCCATTTTTGTTACACCTAATAGACTATGTATAAGTTTAAAAAAAAAATTTTGCGAAGTGAAAAGTTTGATTTCTTTCTTTAACAAGTATAGAGAAGAAGGATTTGCAACTGAATAATTTCTGCCAAGAAAATTGCACTTGAAATGAATATCGAACCCGAATTTCATAAGAAACGTATCATACATAGGAAGTAACAATTTGATGAGAATGTTGATAATAAAATCTCAAAATCTTTCGAAGAGTCCTTTGGAGTTGATTACTTTATACATAGCAGATAAGACTATTTTTTCACTTCAAAATAGATTCGAACAATTCGAAGCATATGAAAATATTTTTGATTTTCTATTTAGCGGTAAAAATTAAGATCACTCGATGATGAAAATTTGAAAAAAAATATTGCCTTAATGTTGAATGTTCCTTAAAGCATAATAATTAATTCGATATTGATGGTTTAGATTTATTTTCGAAATTAAAAATATTAAGAAAAATAGTACAATTAGAAGATAACAGTTTAATTGATACACTCGGTCAAATAAAAAAATTTGATTCTTTTTCCAATGTCTATATTACTTATGGAATGATGTCAATAACTCTTGTTTCCATCTTTCCAGCGGATAGAAATTTTCAAAACTAAAATTGATAAAATCTCACCCAAGATCAACAATGTCTCAGTAAAGGTTAAGTGGATTAGCTATATTGTCAATTAAGAAAGACTTATAGGAATTATTGATTATTAAGAAATTATTAATAACTTTGTATCTATGAAACACTAGAAAACTAGACTTCAAATAAATAAATAATTTTAAAAAAGAAAAGTTAAGGCCCCTCGTAAAGTTTGACTTTAGGCCATACAACTCGTCGGGCCGCCTCTGTTGGCACCATAGTACTCTCATAATTGCAGAAACATGAATTTTTCTTACTGTATTGCCTCTTTTACAAAAAAAATATACATATGAGTTTGCAACTTTGAGGCATAATAATACGATCCGAAAATCCGATCCAATCCGATATTAATTCGGATCGGATTCGGATTGCATTTTCTAGAATTCGAAATTCGAATCCGAAATGTGCTAAATCCGATCCGATCCATCACTACAAGAAAGTAAGGAAACGACGACATTATATAAATGTCGTATTAGGTCACTTAAATGTCATTAATTCATTTACCGATATTTAATTTACATTTGTACTAAATGTCGTAAATTTTGGTGTCGGGAATTTTCCGACATTTATGTTAATGTCGGTAAGAGATTTGCGACATTTATAAAATTGTCACTTGAAATTTATGACATTTAGCCTAATGTCGGTAAAAAATTTGCGACATGTATTTATAGCCTTTTTAAAATGTCACAATCATAAATCTGACATTTATATTAGAATGGAAATAAAAGATTCACGATATTTATTTATGAGTTTTGGGAAATGTCATATCAAAATTTTCAACATTTAGGTTAATGTCAATACAAAATTAGTTGTTTCATAGTGACATAAATATTTTATCAAGTCTGTAATTCATAAATATGAAACACCATATCAATGTAACAAATACAACATATATCTAAAGAAAATAACTCTTATTATTGTAGCAAAAGAACAAAGTGATGATCGAATAAGCGTACTCCTTACAATTTTGATGGCATCAAATTAAATCATCTCTCCATTACTAACTAAATCAAAAAAGACAAATCTTAAAACTAATTAAATCATAAAAGACAGAATCCATCGTACACCTATGTTAAGATCACTGCTATTTTGAGCTAATTCCCTTTAACTTCCAGAATAAATTATGCAATAAAGCTCTATGGATCCATCTTTCCAAAAGTCGAGCACTCCCTTGCTACTAATTGATCTCACATCCACCAAAAATGCTGTACAAGAAGTCCACATAAAAAAAATTATAACTATATAGTAATAAAGAAAAGGAGGAGTGTCTTCTATACTTTTTCACAATTTACCCTCTTCTTTTTCTCCATGCTAGCTCCACTGTTTGCAATTCTTGATTATGTTAACCTGACAAAAAATATTAGACTATCCAAAACATAGATTTGATTATCAAGCTATATTAGAGAAACACCAAGCACAAGACTTCAGAGACTGAACTTCCCAGAAAAAGCAGAATTTACAAGTTGATCCTAAAGAAATAAATATTCTTTCAGTAAATTAAGAATGCTAATAATTCTGAGAAGTAGAATAAATTGCTACTTAACAATATTAACCTCAGTTCTTTCTAAAAAATTTAAGAGGGACAACAGCATTAAAGAAAAAAAGAACTTGAATCCTATAACTAGTTATACAACACTATTCTTGCACTCTAAGGAAAGGCTTCCCTTGTATATACAAATTGAACTCGAAATCAAGAGTTGATACAGGGCAAATGATCAAATTATTGAGGAGAAATAAAGATACACACAAGTATTTAACCAAAAGAGCACCACATGAAGAAAAAACCACATATATGACGTACAAAGAATATGAAGAAGAAATACCTCGTAGGTGTTGTTTTATGGAAAAAAAATTTATCTTCTTCCACAGCTTTATGTCTCTTTCTCTGTCAGGCAAGAGAGCTAAATAACAATCACTATCAAATTCAAAAAGTAATCTAGGACCATTTCCTTGGCTGAAAATTCACATTTATACTTAATATATTCATTAAATCAGCGCAGGACTATTTTAGCAACAGTATATTAAGAATATGACATGCAAGAGCACACATTTTGCGTATTAGTCAATGAATGTCACCTCAACTGAATGTTCAAATGAACAATTCGCCAGCTCTTTCCATCTCATCCTAGATAAGAATAATGGCCCATAATACACAAATCAAAGTGCAAACTTAAAAATAAGATGTAATTAAAACCTGAAAGAATTATCAATCCAACCTGACTAGAAGGCCAAATGTGTCGTGCTATGCAAAAGAGGCTAAGAATAATCTTCTTAACAAAACCATAAATTTGAACTACTTGAAATCCCAATGAAATATTGGTTTACCTGAAATCGCAACGAAACAGAATTTAATAGCCAGAACCCACAGGTCATCCACGTGAATCTACTATCTCATTCCAAAGTAGGTCGAAAAGCAATCCTCTAAACAGAACTCAAACTCGAATATCCAATTTAAATTTAATAATACAGTGCTAAAATTTATACTCTTCTCAGCGTCCAACATGTCATAATAGCGAAGTGTTGTAGTGCACTTAGCAGATACAAAATCTAAATTAAAAACTGAAAATAGAGTTGGCCAGAAACGAAGGTAGTACTAAAATTGTCCTGCGTCATAGAATCAGTTCACAAGCATAAGGTCAAAAAAATATGTATTACAGCTTTGAATAGAATACCCTAATGCTCCACCCAAAAGTCAAAATTAAAGTAAATATTAATTGGCAAAAATTTTAAAACCAAAAATAAACATACAAAATAGCAAACAAGACGTAGGAATGACGATACTCGAAAATCTTGTTCTTGAATCTTATTAAATAAAGATAAAAATTTACAAGGGTGGAAATCCTTCATAGAAACATAGATCTCCGATTAAAATAGAAAATCCAGAATTTAGAAAAGAGATAGGGGAGTGTATATATATAAATATATATAGAGAGAGAGATGAGTTGGGTTACCTGAAATGGTTGCCGGTGATGGTGAGAGAGAGAAAGTTGGGCAGAGGCGACCGCAATTCCTAAACTTCGATAGATAAGGGTTTTTTACTTAATTCATTATGCCCTAAATTTTCACCTATGGGAGGGAGTAGGTGAATGTCGTGGAAAAAATGGGAGGGAAAATTTTAATTACTGAAAAAAATGTAGAGAAATTTCTAACATTTGTTATAAATGTTGTTAATTACTGACAAATATTATGACATTTGAAATAAATGTCACTATAACTGTGACATTTTATATTAAATGTCTTTATTTTTGCAACTTTTTCTTATAAATGTCATGAAATTCCCTTATTTTCGATATTTATTTTAAATGTCATTAAATAAATATCGTCGTATCCTACTTTTCTTGTAGTGCATGCACAGCCCTAGTTATGGATGCAAATTCTATTTCGTCTCCATATAGTAAAACAGTTTTGAGAATTAGATATATTGATATTAAGTTTGTACTATTCTTTAAAACTTATACTCAGTAGTTAATTTCACTTATGATCATCCAACTTTAATTGTGTGACACAAAAATAACTTAACTATACCTATATATTACAGAAAATACTAAATTTATTCCCGAAAAATGCAAGTTGGGTGCCTATGTATATAATGGACATATAATTGTAATCATGTCAGCTCACTTTATATAATATCCATATGACGTCATATCACAAAGTTATTTTTCAACCCAACCTAGTGCCGATATTTAATTGTTGTATTTGAAAAATATACTTCAAACTTTCCAATTAGTTCCCTGATTTTCTGATGTCTCCAACAGTTTTAGGCATGGTAACTTTGTTGTTTCCACGTGTAGCTCCTTTCCAATATACACCATATTTTTTAAATTTTATTCCCTAGTAAACAAAATTCCTAGTTTGCCCTATAAATAATAAAAGAAATGGTCTCAGTTATGGTTTTGCAAGGAGATAGACAGGTTAGGGTGCAAATTATTACAAGTATTACTAGGGCAGATCACTTTGACCAGTTTAATTTTTTTTTTTTTTTTGCTTCACAGTAATTTATTTAACTCGAACAGAGAACAAATGTAGGACTATACTGGGTATGTTGTTATTGGTGAATAGAGAACAAATCTTTCCATAAGAAAACTCATCAATTCTGAACAAAATAGTTTTAAGTTCTAGCAGAAAGGACAATGATATAAAACAATATCATTATACACAGAATTAGAAGCTCTAATAGCTCACACCAACTGATTATACACAGAAATGATATCTCACCTTCTGACATAAACTGTTCCTCTATTTTCTTCCCAGTGATTAAGCTACTAACTTTTAGTACTAATAATAGAACAAAGTTGCACGCTTCAACCCTAAATTAAACCATTCTTTCTTGAAAGTGCTTCCTCCCTTTAAGATGGGCAGCCAGATCAATCTCGCTAAGGCACTGGACGTTACAAAAACGACACCACAGCTTAGAACTATGAGTAACACCAACAGCATTCTTCACTTGTTTCTGCTTTTCATATTGTCCAGTAGCTCCTAGTTGGACCTTTTCTTTTGGCTTTTCATTAGTACTACTGCGCGTTATTTGTGGTGCAAGTGCATGTTCTACTTGCTCCTGCTTAAGCTGGTCTGGCTTATTTGAAATAAAAGGTGTATTTCTTTCAGTTTTGGCCTTTTTCTTGCAAGTTTTCAGCTCTTCACACTTTTCCCCATGATTCCTCACTACAAAAAAATAGCCTATTTGCGGAGGGTATTTTCACGTTTTGCGGCGGTCAGCAACCCCCATTATTTGATATCGCGGCGGTCTTCAAAACCCCAGCTGTAAGGTTCGCCGCTATCATTTTGTGGCAGTTTTTTACAGCCTGCCGTAATCATTTAACGGAGGTTATTTTCCGGCGGTTTAACCCCACATATTAAAATTTTAATCAATGCGCAACTTGGAAAAAATATTCAACGGGGATTGAAACCGCCGCAATATATCTTCGAAATATGGCAAATCTATTTCGCCGCAGCTTTAACCCCCTCAATTTGTTTATTTAATGGCAGTTGTGACCTCCCTATTCCATGAAGACCTTTTTTGTTTGGT